ATTGTAGTAGCAGCTAGGGCCCGGTCGTTGCTTATAGAGTAGATGCACATATTTATATCTGGTTACCACATACGCTCCTGCATGGCACACGAATACACAGATAAAACAAGCACGTACAGCGCGAGCGAAGGGGCGAAGAGGAGTGCCATGCAATCCCTGGTCAAGGGATCTACCGGGCAGACAGATAAAATAAATTGAAAAAGTCAAGCAACGCGCCCTCGTTATACATACAAATAAGAAGAGCGAAGCGCGCTTTTTAAAAATACCTTACGGGAAATCCGAGAATAACAATACCGGGTGACCGAGGGAAGAAAGGGAGTCGGGAGGGATGCAGAGTGGAAGATGAAAAGAAATAAGAGAGAGACAAACGGATATTTTTCTTTTATCTGCGGGGCAGTCCAATCAACGTAAAAAAAGAGCTAATTTATTATTTTCTTCCCGTCTCTTTCAAAATTGCTTCACACTGTTATCCTTTTGCCTTTTTTCCACACTCGTTAGAACAACCAGCACCCTGACGTAGCTTCGATCAGTAGTTTTACATAGAACTCCTTCCTTCCTTTATTATCACCCGCTAGACACAGCGCGTGTTACGTGCTGCTAGATAGTCGCGTAAGAAATGCACCAGAGGCCTATGGTGGGACCACTAACCCCCTCTTCACCCTCCGTCACCTATCTTCCTGCCCACTTCTTATAGGCATAACACGAGGCCGTACGTGGCAATCTCAATGCATAAGTTTAGAATGCATTGTCTCGCTTGCAAACTGACCGCTTAATCGAGCGTTGTGGGTGTTTAAGCGTGGGTGCCGAGAGTTTCGCACGAGTAGCTATGTATGTATATATATACACAAAGGTGTACCGTGTACGACCCGAAGTAAATATTACGTTCTTTGTGTTAATTTTTTTTCTCCGTAATATACCTTGTTTGCCCATCTATTTTTTTATCGCTGCATTCGAACCGTTCGAAGAATTTTAATAACAAGTACCGACGTCACCGATAGCAGGGTATTTGAACGCTTTAAGGAAAAAAAATATCTGTCACGTCAAAACGACGTGCTTTTTTCTTTTTTTTTTTTTCCTGTAATTTATCGTTTAACGATTTTTTAATTATATTTCTTTTTTTTTTACGCAAAATGACTTCTTACAGTCATATTCTTTTATTCTGCTGTTTTTCACAAGCAAACGATAATTGGGTCTAGATAAATATTGTGCGCACTTCGTTAGTCGGACTTTGGTACATATTTATACAGATTTCGTGGTCCAAGAGCGAAAAAGAAATATCGAAATAATATTGGATCTTTCTAAATGAACCACCCAGCCGGTTTCGAACTGTTGAAAGAGCGAAACGGGAAGCCGTGTCTCAGCGTGCCGGTACATCAGGGCTGTGTTTTGCTTTAAAACAGTTTCCGACGAAAGGCGGAAAAGGCTGGCCTGTTTATTTTTCCTATTAGAGCCATAAAATCCAGCTAAATGCGTAGGACGGGTACTGCTTCGTCACACTTTTTCATCTCAGGTACTTGCCAACCTTTTTATTTTCCACTGGGATTGTTATGTGTTGCCGGAACACCTCCACCCCTCTCCTCCCCTCCCCGTCTGTCTCTTTTGCTCCCTTCAAGAGATTACTTTCAATGTCTTTCCACTGTATACTTCTGGTCTCCTGGTCCTAAAAATACCCAAAAGCCTACAAAAGTTTGTCCTTAAGGGTAATCCATAGGTCCTCCACGCAGCTGTTCTCTGTTTTCCTGAAATATGGTTTCCCTGTGAAACTCGCCTAAGACTCTGTCCATTGTTACCTGTAGGTATAGGTAAAGAGAATATATATAGATATATTCATTCATTGAAATGTCCCTCGACGACATCTCGTTATAAGCCTTTACTCTCATTTTTGTAACAGGCAAGGATAGACTTTATGACAGCGTGAACTTTGACCCTGCCGTCTACCGTTAACGTTAACGGTACTACGGTAATTGCTACAGACTCTTCAAGGGACGATGTTTACGCCCCTGCGACGAAGATGGAATTTTCGTGGGGCTAGCGGGATTTCTTGATTGCTATTAGTCAAAATGAAAATTTCCAAAATTTTCATCTATGCATACCCTGCTTAGGCATCCCCAATTTTTTTTTACTTTCCCACTAATCTCAGAGGTACGACAGGCGCACGTGACTCTTACATCAATCGGAAGTCGTGCATGTGCGCCAGGGTGTGTCTGCAGCAACACACCCCCCCCCTCCTCCCCAGAAGCTGAATAATTTCCAGAGTGTGAAAGCCACCACCGTCCCCAGCATGTCGCGTTTAAGCCGCGCTTTAAGCAAACCGATTCCCTAAATAGGGATTAATTAAGGGGGTTGATTCCGAAACAAAGGGCGTGCAGTCGATTCACCCTCGCGCCCTTGCGCCACCACCCATGGGAACTACGTACAGCTAGGTGGGTAACACGTACACGTAATACAGCTTCGCCATTGGTAAACCGTACAGTTCGAAGTATTTTCCGATTTTCCAGTATGCGCCTTTCAAATCGTCCTGTACCGCCCGTCTTCATCCCTTAACCTCGATACCCCACATGCAAAGAGCGTCCAAGCAGCAGTAGCCGCGAAATTGGCCACAAGCCATACCAACCCTTAACCCTCATAGAACGCCAGACCTCTTTAGGGATGGTTACTTACATCTCGCGAGTCAAAGAAACGGGGGGGGGGTTGCTCCGTCCAGGATGACCTGGAGCAGGCAGGGGCGGATGCCGTCGCAGACACGCGCTGACGCTAAGCAGACCACCGAGTAAACACAAAAGGATCTCCAAGGGGTTTAAATCTAACCCCACAAGAGGGTGGAAAGGCCCTCGCAAGACCCTTTCACTCGATGTCAACCCCCATAAAAATGTTCACAATTACTCTTTTCATCCCCTGCAGATCAACCGTACTCCATATTAATCTGCATATTTAGATTACCAGGCTGATAGGCGCTCCGGTGAAAACATCGACGTTTCAACGTGGTTACACTTTGTAGATATACTATCCGTTGGATACACCTAGGCGGCACTGCCCCTCGATTGTAATATTCCAGATGGTCTGTACTATATCCCCGCAGGGATCCCGAGAATCGATGGGACTTCTGTATTATTCGAATGTTCCACCACGGATATAGCCATCCCTAATGAATAATAAACCTGTACACGTACACCTTTCCACTGCGGTTATCGAACCTTTGCCACACGTACGAACGTCCAATGCAATTGTCATAGAACGTATTCTAATATTCGACAATCGTAAATACGACGGAACGTTACAGGCCGTATCTTTTTCGTAAATACGTATACCAGCGCCAAGTACAATTTGTCAATCGTCGTCTAGCGCAACGCGCCTGTAGAGTATTTACAAAATCTGTGAATACTTCGGCACACGCACAGCTTGACTTGGAGTTACCAACGCTTTCGGATCTTCCGTATATCGAAATACGTTTTTTCCCACTCTTATATGGACCCCCTCCTAGCTATCCATCTGACTGACGTTAGTCCCTTGGGCCTTAGAATTCTTTGTCCTTTGGGTCTCAACGCTTCACACTCGTGCGTCTCTCTACGTCTGTCTGTCTGTCTTCCGTTCCAGGGAACCGTTCCTGGCGCGTTACGCGTCTCGAATATCGTTAAAGTCATCTTGAATTCTCAGAGCCACGTTAAATAAGTCCCGACGTTGTACGTAGTGTATTTTTCTTTTGTTTTCCTTTTCTCTCTCTCTCTCTCTCTCTCATACGTGTAACTTTTCATTCCAAGAATATTTTCCTCCGCGCTCTCCACGTCAATTCTCCATATGATATCTGCTACTGTCTCGAGGTTTCTCGGCCACGTAACGACTAACCAAGAGACCACTGAGTCGCAACGGAAGTTGGAACGACGTCAGACCGGAAATGCCCTTTGATATTACGTAAACGAGTGAACAGCGGATGCGTTCCGTGTATCTCGACCGAGTTATCGCACACGTGATGTAAGTTGCGTTCGACGAGTATAACGCGTAAGGGGGAGTCTGAAAGTAAATAAAAATTAAATAAAAGGAATTTGGTCGAATCGTAATAAAATAAAAGATGCGTCTCTTGACTGAAGGATACAAAAATTCGATAATGCTTTATCTATGCTCATTGCCCGTGGATGTATAGGCCTAAGAGCGAATGGACGTCGTGACTGCTGTCGTCATCGTCGCCACTGATAAATACGATGACGGATAAGTGCTCGCGGGGTAAAGAGGCACGCTGAAAAATTCGTGGCACTTATCGTGATAATAATAAACAAAACTCGAAATGGATGCCTCTCGGATCTCATCTCTGTATAGTTAATGGACTCTATTCGGTTGGCGTGGGTATTGGAGGATAAATATATAGATCAATAAATTAACAAAACGTCGCGATAAATCCATCAGGAAATAGAAGGAGTTTCTCGGTCCGCTCATCGTATAACAGACAGTACTCATCGTACGATGGTATACGAGGATCATTGATTTTACTACGGGGAAATGACTCGTGCACCACCGCCACCACCACTGTATAGTCTATTGGCCGTTTTGGTGCAGCAATACGTCGCAGCAGTTAAGCTTTACTGCCTATAGGATTCTACCTGGAGAAGTCCAGGATCCGAGGCCCCGTAAAGCGTATGGGCTTAGGTGAAAGAAGGAACAGGGTGCGTTCTGGTGGGTCTCTCAGGGAGCTCTGCTATCCTACGGGAAACCCGGATAGAAAAGGGACCCTCTCAGTCATCGGCACCCTTCTTCACGATCACCCCTAAAACTCCTACGGTCCCTCGGCAGCTCCTAGCTATAGTCCCTGTAAAGCTGCGTTAACGGGCCCCACGTTTTCTTTGGGGTCTCAGTCGTCCTCGGGCCCCGACTACGTGTACATATCGCAAGGGTGAGTTCGAGACGTTCGAGTCGACGTGATCAAGAAAATAATACCCCCTTTTGTTTGGTGATTGAAATTTTCTTTCTTTTCTTTTTTTTTTTCTTTATTTATCTATGGTGTATATATAATGTGCACATGGTTACTTGTTTTAATATTTATTTGGCAATGAACTCGCGACTCTCGTGGGAATACTGCTTTGTGGACGAATCTAGTGATTTTGGGTGATTCGTTGGAATCTTTATGAAAGTTATCGGTGACTGGTTTAAGTGCGGATTGATATTTCGTGTGCGAGTAATTTAAGTGAAAAGTGTGAAATTGAAAGTGTGTTGATGATATTAATTAATTTGGCGAAATTAAGGGGCTTTGAGTGTTTTATGGAAATTTTATGTTTTTTTCTTCTTCTTTTTTTTTTTCGCCACTCTACGATCGCAATGGCGAGCTACTTCGCAAGGTTGCATCTGCCGCTCGTGTGATACGTGTTTCAATAAAACTAACGGAGCAGATAATATTCGGTGCTGGTAGTTACTTTGCTAAGGAATTTTTCTAAAGAATTTTTTACCTCGATTTATTTATTTCTTGGCTTTTACTTTTGTGATATATATCTAAAACGTGAGTTTCGTGTATTGCATATATATATATGCACATAAATAGACATATATATATGAAATTGGCTGGGAGCGCTGGCAAGGAATACTAGACAGAAAAATCGCTGTCCAAGAATATCATCCATTATCCGTGGTATGATCTCGTAGTAAGTCTACAAAAAAAAGCATTCAATCCATTTAATCAAATTCCCGAACAAAAATTCACATAAGTAAATAATCAAACGGCGTTAAACAACCTCACGAGTACACCGTTTTCTATTTCTTTGGAAATATTTGGACTAAAATCCAAAAATTGCCAACCCACCTAACAAACAGTACGCAGGTATATTTTCACCATAATTAACCTCAAAGTCCGTTCGTACAATGCCGACGTCATTACCGTTATCGCCAGGTAAAAAGAATACGACCACGAATTACATTTAACGGCACCCTAAGCCAATAAATGCCTATCTGCCCGTCTTTCTACGTTATTCGTATAGTAAAACACGGCCGAGTCTTCCGCTAGATTTTCCATAGGACCATTTCTTAAAGAGAGCAGCTGCTCCATTACTGTTTCCTCTCTCCCGTTTCTTACCTCTCAAAAAGTCCCGGCCTCCCCCGCGGCCCACCGCAACTTCTCAACTCCGCAGCCTCTTCCTGCGTCATCTCGTGACAACATTTCCCAGCCGCTCCTACTGCACATAATTCCTGCCGCTCTCTACGGTGATTTCCACATGGCACGAGATCTATGGGAACAAAACGAAAAACCAACAGGCGTCTCGGGTGTTTATGCATTTTCGAAAATAGAAACTATGTTTACGGGCTGTCGCTGGCGATGTTTCTCTACGGCGCTGGTTATACCCAGTGCCGTTCGAAGATTTCCAAGGGAGAAGCCATTTTTTCACGCATGCTTCATTATATTTTCCTTCCAAGTAACCCAGCCGCCACTTTCCCGCGAAAGGCTTCGCGACTGAACTTAGCCAAAACAACTGCATGACAGCTGTCAAACGCGAGGGATACGTTTACGGCGATTTGTTATTTATCGTTCTACGCTATTGCGCATGCGCAAATAAGAAACTCATTTCGATAAGGTTATCTCGTTGCACTTTCCGCGTTGCCGCGTGTGCGTATACACACTCGTCACGCACGATTTCGTTCTACGAACGCGCAACGAGTCCCGCTTCGAGGCCTGGACGTGCGCAGCCAGTGCGCATGCGCGCGGGCAAATGCCACTGGCATTCCCTTACCGGCAGCGCTGTAAATGTCCTTCGAGGCTGTCGAGCATCCTGGCGCTATAATCGCACATTCCGGCCGCTGTAACCATTTCCAGAAGAGTGCGCGAGCGAATCGCCACTCGCCTAGTTAATTCAGCCTGATAGGAATCTTTATAGGGAGCTGGAGAGAACATTGCACTTGCTCGTAATTTGCCATTATGCTGTACTTTTCTTGCATGTCTCTCTCCCTCTCTCTCCCTCTCTTGCTTTTTATTCTCCTCTCAATCTACTTCTCTTTTCATCCGTTCGTCGAGATGGAATCGTACGTTCCAGGCTACAGGACGCGTAGGCTTCCCCATTGTATGTGAAAAGAAAAAAGTAAATACACTTTTATTCACATTTAAAGCAGCACTTCCATATCCTGCACGATATTACTGCATGCTAATACAAAGATATTCGGCCTCGCGCGACTGTAATATTTTCATATATTTATTAAATACGGTTCCGTGCAGCGGTTATTCCTCTTTTTTTTTTTTTTTTTTTTTTTTTT